AGATAGATAGATAGATAGATAGATAGATAGATAGATAGATAGATAGATAGATAGATAGACTGATAGGTAGGTAGGTAGGTAGGTAGGTAGATGTAGATGTAGATATAATGATATAGAGATATAGAGAAATAGATACAGATAGATAGATAGAGATATGTAGATATAATATAGAGAGAGATGGAGAGAGATAGAGAGATAGAGATATGTAGATATAATGATAGAGATAGATAGAGATAGAATGTAGATATAGATGAGATAGATAGATAGAGATATGTAGATATATTATAAATAGAGATAGAGAGGGATAGAGATATTATAGATGATAGAGATAGATAGAGATAGATATGTAGAAATAGATATGCAGATATAATGATATAGATAGAATGTAGATATAGATGATATAGATAGATAGAAATAGATAGAGATAGTCAGAGGTGGGCTGCACTCATGTTAACAACTGGTTCAGATATATAACTGACGTTCCTTTTTTCCCCATCTCCTATTTAAGAAAAGAAGAAACGCTTCCCCTCTTTTTTGCTTCAAATCTGTTCTTTAGAATGCGACCTGTAACCCTCCCCAAAACACAACCTGCGATGCGGGCAGCATCACCACCAATCCTCAGCTTCACTTCTACCAGCTGGTCTTCGGGATGAGTGTGGTTATCATGATTATCCTGAGTTTCATCAAAGGTTATGGTTTCACTAAGCTGACCTTACGAGCTGCCTCCAACCTCCATAACACCATGTTTTACAAGGTATCACTAAACTTCAGTTAACTATCCTTGTGCTTCCATTTTTTATTTTATTTTTTTGACAGGGAGAATGAAACAAAGTTAATTTTATAAATCTAACTTGGGGTGTGTGTGTGTGTCAGAAAATCATCCAATGCCCATCAGGCATGAACAACCAGACCCACACTAGTAGTGTTCAAGCAAGCTACTTTATTGTTCTAGGCCCATTCTACAGGAATCTCCACATTGCTAGCTTTTGCCCGGGAAACATCAGATAAGGCCCAAAGACAAGGGGGAGGGGGGGACAACTTGTCCTCTTGTGTTCACATAACAGTTCCAGATATTGTCCCACTTAAGCCCCCCTTTCTAACCCAAACAGTTGCTCTCCAAGAGGGCTTCAGCAATTATTCAATAAACTGCGCCTTAATATAGTTGTGTGCATTAATCCAGAGTCCAGTATGGACCATCAGAGAGTTTGTGTCTTGTCCAGAAGATGGAATGGAGGATTGCTTATTCCAAAGTGGGCTACTAGTAAGGATGCAACAGGCCTTCTCGATGGTGGCTGTCATTTATGGATCAATCTGCAGGTCTTCTGAACACAAGCCATTTGCCAGGGGTAAATGAATGGCCCCTTCTATAAAGGTTTCTCTTTGACTTAGTTGTATCTTTCTCAGAATCTGCTAGGATTGGCTCAGATTGTAAATACGATAGATAGACAGACAGACAGACAGACAGACAGAAGATAGATGATAGATAGATAGAAGATGATCGATGATAGATAGACAGATAGACAGAGAAACACACACACACACACAGAGAGAGAGAGAGAGAGAGAGAGAGATGGAATACAAGGAGGTCAGATCTGGATTCTTTAAGGACAGGGTTTCCCCAAGGCCAAAAGAGCATTTCTACAGAAATCTCTCATGTCCCATTGATCCAATTTTAAAAACTAAAATAAAACTAAAGCTTAGAAAAGACTATAACTTTTTGATGAATTTCAGAGATGCAGGAAATAAAGTTTCAGGAAAGGTTTGTGGCCTGAATCCAATTACAGCTAACAATCTGGTACCGGAAAGTAGTTTTCTTCCAAGTCAATTAAATTCTCTGTTGGATATTGCTTTCCACCAAAGGATCTCGTTGGAATGTTCTGCTCAAATGACGGCTGGTTTTTCAGACTGGGTTGATAGAGCTCGGCCATCTGTTAAGCGCCATCCCCTTTCTAGCTGCATAAATTTCATCTTCCAGAATTCCTGAATTTTTTTAAGGAACCCACTTAAACATAAGTAAGAATTATGGGAATTGAAGTCCTCTAACCTGGAGGTCACCTTGGCCGAGGAAGACTAGCGTAAATCAGAGGAGAGCATATGAATTCTAGTTCCATATTTTATGAGAATCTAACAATGTTGTTCTATTATTTTGCACTTAGCTAAAACATTAAAATATTAAGATTCACCCCCCCCCCCCCCACCCCCATTTCTAGCAGAAGGCTTTGATTTCTAGCGCTGCAGCTCTAGGCGGGATTTCTTATTGATTACGAACTCTTTCTCCAAGAACATGTTATTAGAAACGAATCGAACCACTCTTTCTTCTTTGCGCCATCGTAAAAGAGCCTTTAAAATCTGTTTTGCACTGATGCTGAAGTTTAGGTGAAACCGACTTATTTCTGCCATCCAAAAACTGAGCGCTACATAAAGGCTTATCTATCATCTCATGGCATTGTTATTGTTTATTTCATTTCATTTTTATTTATTTATTTAGTCAAGCAATTACAAGATAACAGGTATAAATATAAACATAGTTATGAATACATGAAATGGATACATATAAGAAAAATAAAAAGAAACAATAGAACAGGGACGGT